ATGAGTTCCACAACTCACATTTTTTTCATTACGTGTCACCAACTTCATACAACAATGCAAACATCTGGCCTTTTCTTTGCCATCATTCTCTACCTCCACTTATACAAAATCTTCTCAAACCCGTGATGTTTTACGTCTCTTGCGTGGAGCTTGAGCCGATTCCCTAGAATGGGTTTCAGATTGCTGTTCTTCTAATTGTGTAGCTTCCAAATTTATCTCAGCTTAAGCATCTTCTTCATTCATGTCTATAAAATCTTCCATGCTGTAATTGGAAAAAAAAAAGAGGAAAATAGATTATAAAACTGGATGTAGCTCAATCAAACCACAAACACAAAACGGGATGCATAAACACAACTAGGCATAATCATAGAAACCAAAGTTAATCACAATTAGAGTAATTAACTTGTTTCTTGACTTTTCCTGACCTCAAATAGCATCAGAAACCGTATGAATTTTGGTTCTGCTAAAGATTTATGCAGACATTGCTATTTCATGTGAAAGTGAACCAACCTAAAAACACAAGCTCTGCTAAAACTATAAGCGAAGAAATGAAGATGTTAAACGGCTTACGGACATCTGTTGGACCTAATTTCAGGCAACAACCAAATGGGCCCAGGCCCATACATCGCTGTTCGCAACTCGACCCGTATCGAATAGAACGAGATCGGGTTGCTGGCCCGAAGATCCCGGAGACGGTAAAGAAGAATCGGCGAAGCACATGCTATAAAAGGAAGAGAGTGATAGAGAACAAAGGACACAAATAAAACTCTAGAACTTCCCACTACTCACATTGACCTCGTTTCTTTAGTCATAAACTTGTTTAATTCTCGATCTCACTTTGTAATCTTCAATCTCAGTTACTTCTTTGTATCAAACTTTATATCAACAAAGTCCATTTTTGTCTACTGAATTCTGATTACATCGTTGTATTGTAAGAGCATCGTTTCCCACATCATTTATCTTCCCTAGATTTAACCCTTAGTCACTACAAAATACTTAGTGTGGACTAGGATCTACAACATCTCAACAAAGACTGTTATTATAAAGTAAAAAAAAAAAGCATTACATCATCTAAATATACATGATTCAAGTTGCTTTGAACTTGGGATCAGCAGCTACGTAATGATAAGCAGTTACTAATGCAAAACAACCAACAAGTGATTCAGATAAAAGGGCTTACTTCAACCCTTGAACCGGAGGAGCCTTTAAGATTATATTCGAAACCTCTGGGCTTCTGAACAAGTACGAGACCTGACCAGCACCAAAAGCACATGAATAACTCATCAATCACTCAGACATAAAACACACACACCACCACCAGTTAAAAGGTTGAGTGCATCTTAGCTAGAACTGACACAGCTCTGCATCTCCATCTCTAGTTTCTATCTAGATAAAATGCCAGCACATATTCAACTATCTAACAGTGTCAAAGGTTGATAAACAAAACACACACAAACTAGAAACACAACACATGAGACAAACATGAAAACAATAGGAAACATAGCACTCTTCTTTGTTTCGATACTTCTTCATCTCCAAGTTCCAACCCATCGAAAAATATGCAATTTAGCTAAATAATATGCAATTTTTCCTTCTGGGTTTGCTTAATTTAGAGACTAGAGACAGATCTAAAAAAAATCGAGTCTCTCTTCGGTTTAGCTAAACCCTAGGATTATCAGTGAACCTTTACCTGAAAACCTAATCTGCTCTCTATAACCAGTTGTTTCAGCAATCAAAAGAGAAGAAAGAATAGAGAGTAGTTACCAATCGGTTTCAGAAACAGAACTTGATCGAAACTTGATCATTGACAATGGGTTTCAGAAGTTGAGGCGGTGGAGATTACGCTTTGGTGGAGATCTGATCGAAGGAGAAGATGAAAATGGAAGAAAATCCTTTAAGGCCTTAACCAAACGACAGCGTTTAAATTACACAGAAAAAACATTAATGGGTTAAACGGGTCCGTTTATTTTAGCGAAAACCCATTTAATAAATGGGTCTTAAAAGGGTTGCCCATTTAAAACCTAACTAGCTAAATGGGTCTAAATGGACATTTATTTTTTATCAAAACCCATTAAGAACCCGCGAACAAAACTCATCTTAACATCCCTGCTTGTAAGGCTGGTAGACACTATATGGCATGGGTGACTGACTCATCGGGTTCCACACATCAAAAGAAATGATTATCACATCACATATGACAACGTGTAAGATTCTTTGTTACCGCTATGTGACAAGCTATCAGCTACCATATGGAGAATCTTATGAACATCCTTTATTTCCCAAGCAAATACTTGAAGCATAATGATACTCGGCTTTGAGTAACCGTCTATGTCTCATTGTAAAATATTATGTGTTATCCAATATCCAAACTTGACAGTATATTGCTCATTTTTGTCAAGCTCCAGAAAAATGCATCTCGATGATTGGTGCGCCTTATGGCCAAGCTGAAAATCAGTGGTATATACTCTTCAACAACAAAACTTTCAAGCATCTCAACATCCTATTTCTCTGGCTCCCTTTGATGAAAGCATTGACTGTCGTCGCGGATATACCACTGGGCATTAGTCGATCAAGTCTAGCTGGTGTTGTGGGGTTACAAGGATCTTCCAACGCTCTAAGTCATGTCTTGTATGACTCTTCTTTGATACTCAACAACAATAATTGTCTTGTAACCTAAATACTAGTCCACATATAAAAAGGATTCTAGTATGACTCATATCTTGTAACCTAAATAATTATCTAACTCATATCTTGTATGACTCTTCTTTGATACTCAACAAAAATAATTGTCTTGTAACCTAAATACTAGTCCACATATAAAAAGGATTCTTAGTAATATTTACTCGCAAAGACGAGTTCATTCGATAGTATTTTCCGCACAAGATTCGAGCTAACAAAGAGTCTGAAAATTTTACCAATCAACATAGTTGTGTTTGCTAGAAGTGCTAGTTTAAACTCGTGGATCATACAAAATCTAACTCTGCCCTCTTCTCTTTATAAATAAAGATTTTATTTTTATTTTATTCAGTGCATATTTTTTTAGGTGAAATCAAACTTCACCAATAATGTGCAATGACACTTGCAAATCTTTCACATAGCTCCAAAGGAAACAAGAAATTAGACATATAAATCGAAAGAGGTAATAAAATGGATTTTATTAAAATGTATTTCCCTCTTCTTCATTACCATTTACCTATCCAACCATTTGCTCGGTTTTGTAATGTATCCTTGATACAACTTATTTATTTTTTCATGTGTTCCTTCAACTTTGTTATAATGACACCTGACAGATTTGTGATCAAATCAACCTAATTTTGAAAACCCAAATTATGAATCATAGAACCAGTAGTCAGTCAAACGGAAGAATACCAAGTTTACATTGTCGTGAATACAAAGTTAAGAAGAAATGTGTAGCCAACAATTTATAAAAAATAAATTCCATAGGGAAAAAGAAAATGTGTTATGTTACAACAGATGAAATGTTACAATTAAAAACAAGAATTTTTTACCTCTACGGACACTTTTTGTCTTTCTAATTACAAGTGAAGACACATAGCACTTGGAACACACTTTTTCTATGTTGTTGGTCTTTTATGCCCTTTTCCCAACTTTGAAACTAAACTATTTCTTTCAACTAAAACTAAATTTTCGTGACTAAATCTATTTTATTCCCATCTCAAATTCAAATTTGCAACCTTTTAACTCTCACCGTATTTGTTTTTCTATGTCTTTAACTCTCTAAACTCAACATTGAAAGTAATTTTCTTATAAAATAAAGTCACGAGCATAATTTTGTATCCAAAGTTCACCATCAATGCCTTGCGTTGGCACAAAAAAATGACTTTTGAAACAGCATAATAATGAAGCATATTCTGGGTTGATTCGTTTTTGATTTTATCAAAGTTACTACCTTGATTTTATCAAGAGATTCTCTTATCAAAGCTTTAAGAGAAACAATTAAATCCAGAAACTAAATTTTAAAACCCAATACGAATCTATCTTGGTAAAGATCGTCAGAACATAAGAAGAGAGAAGTGGAGATACAGTGGCTGTGACGGATAATAGGAATTAATTGGTGGATCTCTATTTAGAGAGTTATGGGAGATCTGTTTATGGCAAGCTCTCGTGGTGTGGAAAAGGATGAAGGCATCGGGATACTGTCTCCAATTTGCCTCCTCACGTCGGTCTCGACCGCCGGTGAACCGAGAAAAAATTTCAATAAACGAGTTCATCGATAGGTTCCGGCGATTGAGAAAACCGTTGGAGAAGACGATAGAGTCAACGGAGACGAAACGAATCAGCTCCTCCTCCTCAACCCCCGGTGATTCATGCCATGGATTCCAAGCTCAATATTATCGTGGATGAGCTCGGTGGATCAGATGTAGCTGAAGCTCATTGCAATCCTCCACCACGAAAAGTGTTCTGTTATCTACTTTGTAAATGTTTGTTCTGGGTATTGGAAATCTCTTGCTTTTGTTTGTTGACCATTATAACTCTTTCTGTTATACATAACTCGTGGTCAGTGTTTTGTTGAGGTTCTGGTAACAACGTGCATCCACATTTTTATTCTTTTGTTAACATGAGTTTATGTCAACCTTTTTCTTCTGTTATACATATGAATATTTGTCCATATAATTACATGTTCACAACTCCATGTATTTTTTGTTAACATGAGTCCATGCCTGAACACAAATCACCCGAACATAATTCACTCGACCACAACTCATCCGACGATAACTCAGTCATCCACAAAAGAAATTATGCATCCCCACATCGAACACAAACAATTAAATCATGTTTTGTCAAAATATCATATTCTCCAAGATTCAATCTCATTCATCGATGTGATATTAACATTTTTAATCCAAACGGTGGAAAGCAAAATCTTTTTCTTATAAACTTAAAAGCACAAATGAAACTAGATCTTAGTTTCAATAAGGGCAATTTTGACAAATTAACCACTTGGTCCCACTAGAAAGTGTCCCACAAGTGGGAAGTGCTTCTTAGTGTAAAAGAAAGACAAAATGTGCTCTTCTATGTAATCAACTCTAAAAACAATATCCAAACAACAACAAGACAAGTACATTTTGACTTTTACGCCCAGTGCATTGGATCGATGGATAATCCTGGAATCTCTCTAGTAACATGGTACTCCCATGAAAATCTAAAAGAACGAAAAGGAAATCTACAACAACAGTTTATGTACAGCACCAAACGATCTCGGTATGATGCTGCAAATGTTCTAATAAGTACTGACTGAATCATCCTCTTGTCAAGTCAATATCAGTGAGGTGGTTATTGTTTCTTGAGTCGGTTGTTCTGCTGCCACCACCAGATCCTGCCCACCCTGGTGAAGAGTAGTCCAGTGGCGTCTGAGCCGCCTCTGCTGCTGATTCTGATGCTCGTGGCGACGAAGGCTGTTCACTGGCCGGCGTCTCCAGGTTGTTGTCCTTTTTGGTGGTGGTGGTGTCTTCCTTTGACCCGTTTTCTTGCTTTATTACTTTAGCCTTTGCACTTCCGTATACAAAACTACATGCCACCACCTACATACAAAGCAAGTCAAGTCATATTAGCCATCAGGAACTGAGAGAACAGAACCATTCAAACAAGAATATATAACACATAGATACCTGAACGAGACTGGCTGCAATAAGCGTTCCAACCGTGCCACCAATCAGAAAACCATCGTGGCGGGAGAGAGAGACACTAATACCTCCAGTTCTTGATTTAGACCCACCTTCTTCATTAACCAAGTAACATCCTTGTAAACTTAGTATATCAAAATGCGCCTACACAGCAACCAAACAAAGAAGATGAAAAATGAGTTTGTTTGTGAGACCAAAGAGGAAAAATATTTTGAACCTGAAAAGACAGAGTAGGCGCTGATGATCCAGTTTGGCGTAGCGTCAGTGCAGAAGCCACTCCGGTTCCAGACATAATACAAAGGGCTCTTGGCCTCTGTTGTGAAAACGAAAGGACTTTTGAAACAATGTCCTACAAAAGATGAAGAAGAAGAAGAAGAAGAAGAAAAGGTGATTTTTAACTAAGATCATACAAACTCAAAAATATCTGATAGATGCAGGAAATGAAGAAGAGATGGAGGGTTAAAATGTACCTCTCCGGCTTCAACACTGATCACGTGCGTCGCAAAAGCAAATCCAGCTGAAGTGTTCATCCACTCACCTAGAAACAGTAGAGCCAAGCAACGACAACAACCAAGTTGAAAGCCTTTTTTTTTTGTAGAAGCTCAACATCGAGTCAATATCTAAGTTAACAGTTTTATGATTCCTTATACCAAAATCACATTCAGGATATGTATCAGTTCTCACAAAATAGAAACACAAATCATTCAGTTACCAAGATTGAACAACAGAGCTAAAAAGCAACTTCTTAACTCAAACATAGAATCATTGGAGACATCTTAAGCTTTTAAAGTCTATAATTTAAGAATAAGAAAGCTCACCGAGATTTGCAAGACGCTGTTTTCTCCCAGTTCCGGGTGGTCTACCTCTAGCTCGTTTGGGAGCGTTAGGATCAGACATTGATGAAGAGATCTTAGGCTTCTGCATAGGAGAGAGTTCAAGATCACACCCTTCATTCTCTGGAACATACTTCCTCGGCCGTCCTCGCTTCTTCTTAACCATTATCGGCTCCTCCGCAGCAGCTACCGAGGGGTGAGGAGTGGGAGGAATCGGCGGCTGTTGTTGCATAGCCGGAGACGAAGAAGAAGCAGCAGCCATACCCATATGAATCCCATGGCTGAAATCCTGATGGTGTCTCTGCTCGCCCAAGGGAAATGGATGGCCGGAGTTAGGAAGAGGGTGCTGCTGCTGGAGATTAGGGTTAGTCATTGGCCTGAAGCCCGGCAGCGCGTGGATGGCACTCGCGGACTGAGAAGTAAAGGCTCCTCTTGGGAAGTAGAAAGGATGAGGGAATGGCATAGCTTCTCGACCTTCCATGCATTTAAAAACCCTAATTTCTAGATTTATGAATCTGGGTTCTAAGGATTAGAGTCCTAATCAAAGTCGGGAACTTTTTAGGGTTTTAAAACAGAACCCAAGAATCAAGTTGGGGTTTTTGATAAACCCACAACAAAATTCAAGAAACCTTAGGGATAATATCAAGGATCTATATTGAATTCTACAAGAAGAAACCAAATCTTGAGCTCTGAGCTCAATATAAATGCAGATTTGATTTCACGAAATGTGTAGTGCAACAAGAACAGGGCTAAGATATGAGGCAACAGGTGCAGCTGCTCATACTATTACAGTCTATTGTAAAGAGAAGAGACAACACAGAACACACCCTAGATTTCGAAATCTAGGGTTTCTGAGATGTAAATCGCAATGTACATCAGAGGGGGAGAAAAAGGTAGACGATGGACACAAGAGACAAAAGTGGAGAGAGAGTGTATTAAAAATACATTTTGAAAATTGAAGAGCGCTTTTGAGTTAAAGCATTCTCTGAACTGAAGGCTGAAAAGAGTTGAACACTTTTGTGACTTTGTCTACTACTCTACTCTCTCTTTTTTATCTGTTTTTTTTCGGGAAAATTGTCATTTAAATCCCGAACTTTCAAATTTGGTTGAAAAAAAGCATGAACTTTCTCTTAGACCATTTAAAACACCAACTTAGTCTGAATAGCCATGTTAAACCTTAATTTAGTTTGACTAAACCAAATCAAACACGACGTTAACTCGGGTAACGGATCGATTAGACGGAGTTAATCACCGTCTCTAATTTCCGTTAAGTCGTCTAAACGACGTCGTTTTAAAAATTTTAAAAATATTGCAACCAGATGGAATCGAACCGAGACCCAAAGACAAACTCACTCCAAGACAAAAACCACTAGACCACTTGCGCTTTTTGTAACCTAAATGAATACTAATAGATTTATTATGAACCATCCAAATCATTTTCCCACCCTAAATTCCTAAATATTAAAACTTATAAATAACTTAATAATTAAAAAATTGTAAATATTAGTAAAAATATTAAAACTTATAATAATTATTAAGTTATTTATAAGAAGTATTAAAAATATTAAATAACAATTTTTTAATCATTAAGTATTATTGATTATTCAAATTTTCATTCTTATACTTAATAATTAATTATTTAATAATACTCAATAATTAAGAAGTATTAAAATAAATTTTTTTAATCATTTAGTATTATTGAATAATTAAATATTAAGTATAAGAACGAAAATTTGAATATTCAATAATACTTAATGATTAAAAAAATTGTTATTTAATATTTTTAATACTTATTATAAATAAATTAATAATTATTATACGTTTTAATATTTTTACTAATATTTATGATTTTTTAATTATTAAGTTATTTATAAGTTTTAATATTTAGGGATTTAGGGTGGGAAAATGATTTGGATGGTTCATAATAAATCTATTAGTATTCATTTAAGTTACAAAAAGCGCAAGTGGTCTAGTGGTTTTGTCTTGGAGTGAGTTTGCCTTTGAGTCTCGGATTCGATTCTCTTCAGTTGCAATATTTTTAAAAAATTTAAAACGACGTCGTTTAGACGACTTAACGGAAATTTTAACTCCGTCTAATCGATCCGTTACCCGAGTTAACGTCGTGTTTGATTTGGTTTAGTCAAACTAATTTGAGGTTTAAAATGGCTATTCAAACTAAGTTGGTGCTTTAAATGGTCCAAGAGAAAGTTCATGTTTTTTTTCAACCAAATTTGAAAGTTCGGGATTTAAATGACAATTTTCCCGTTTTTTTTCTGTCAAGATCTCTTTTTTATCTGTATTAACTTAGAGATATACATTAATTCGATTATTTGTGAAATAACCAAAAAAAAAATATTTTTAGAGAGAAATTAGAAAGACAAGGGAAGAAATAAGAGGACAGAAAGTAGAAATTTGGTTAATTAATTAACTTTAGTTTTGTCTAAGTTACTAGGTGCAATTTTCCTTTATCAATTCGGAGGAAAACTATTGATTAATTAGTTTGAAACAATTAATAAAAGAAATACAGTAAATATTTTATAAACTAATATTCCATAAAACCATATTTAAATTCTATGATATATAGAGGGTGATTGGTTGAGATGTAACTAATAACTTTAGCTTTAATTTTCATCTACAACCATAAAAGTTATTAATTATGTTTTATCTAATTTTTAAAGCTAAAGTCAAACTTTTTTTAAAAAAATAGCTGTAGCACCCTTGTTTTCTAAAACACTATTTTATATGTTGTAGAGAAAAATATTGATGTAGAAATATCTTTCCATTTTTGTTATTTTTTGTATTTATTTCTACAGCTACATTTACACTACAAGAAAACATGTGTCTAACGACTACACTACTGGTTGTTAATTGGTCGTAATATGTCATTTACGACCAATTAACATCGAAAACTCATTGGTTTCACTAGTCGTAATGCACAATTAGTCGTAACGTAGTCGTAATATTACGACCACAAGCTGTAGTCGTAACCTAGTCGTAATATTACGACTAATGCTTTAGTTGTAAGGTTGAGGTGACATTTGTAGTAGTAATGTAGTCGTAAAGCATTTCGTAGTTAATTAGTCGTAATATAATTAGTAGTTAATGAGTCGTAATAGATGTAGTCGTAAAGCAAACGTAAACATTGGTAGTTACTTAGTCGTAATATTACAACTAAGTAACTTCGACAGTTGTTGTCCATTAGTCGTAAATTAAAGACTAATTTACGACCAATGTTGATTTTATTTTTAAATAAAACGATTTTCTTAATTTGATTTTTTTTTAAAAAAATTGGTTTTTAATTCGAATTTTTTTAAAAAATGAATAAATTTTAAAAATATATAAAGTTATATTTGATTAAATAATATATAAAGTATTTATACAAAAAACCGAAAAAACTAAGGTGTTTTGTTGAGGTTCATGTCTTGGAAGAACTCGGAAGTGTGTTGCTCCGCACGTCGCTCAAAATCCACATGCTCTTCCGGAGTGGGGTCGGGGTTAAAGCTCGGACGTAGAGCTTGCCATGCATTTGCAACCGTCGGGTTTGGATTCGAGGTCTCCATCATAAGATCGAACATATTCGCCATAGCCTTGAACTTGCTTTTATGCCCGTCTATGACTTTGTTGGCAGCTGCTAGTTCCCGTCGGAGAGAGGAATCTTCTTCTATTCTTGCTGCATGTTCGGGCCTCGCCCTCGGGACATCGTTCACAGTCCCGATCTCAATAATACATCTCCTTTTCTTCGGAGCAACCTACAAAATATCAAATTTTATTTACTAATTATATTTATATAATTAGTAAAAATGTGAAAATTTAATAAAAAATTAAAAATGTTAATAAAGTTAAAAATTAAAATAATTACCTGCTCGAAAATCTTGTCTTGGTCGATGGTGGAAAGCTGGACCGGTGGAGCATCCGGATTTTGTTGCGACATCTGAGTCTGGACCTCTTCGATCCGAGCCTCTACCTCGTTGTAGATCTTCTCTTCTTGAGGATGCACAAAAGTCTCATCGGAACGATGGTGGGTAATCTTGTATAGCCGGGCGAGAGATGGTGGCGTTCCTTCTTTGGCAGTCTATAAAAAATAAATTAATTTAAATTTTGCGTTAAAAAAATATTAATAAAATCAAGAATATTCAAACACTTACAATTTTAAGTGCCCTCCCAGCATGTGGGGTCTGCCTGGAAGTATGAGGAACTGGTGGGTTACCTTGAGCATCCTTGGTCATCCGGACCGCAAAGTACTTGGTAGACTTCGCCCTTGACTCAGGCTTCATCTAAAAAGTCACCAAACCAACCCAAACGTCATTGCTGAGGTAGGCTGGTTTTACGTCATCCTGTCTTAACCTCCAGTCATCCTTACAATCTCCAACAATGTTCTTGAGGCGCTGCATTGCCTTTTTGTAGAATCCAGATTTGACCTTCTCGTTGACACCTATGGACTAATTCCATTTTTGCTACAAAAAATTTATGAAAAATTAGAAAACATTAGTACTTTAATATACTACCGATGCATGAATTAATTTTTGTTTTAAATGGAGAAACTAACTGCGAAACACTTGAACCACGTAATGCGAACATGGTCCGGTGTAAGAGTCCAGTTCGGGTGGGCATGCCGAAAATTTGCCCGAATGATATCCCCAACTCTCTGTCCTAAAACATTGTCCGTCAAAAACCTACAAAATTTGAAAGAATTTATATATTTATTTCAATATATATTAATATTAAATAAATTTTTTAAATTTAAACTTTAATTAAATAATTTAAAATAATTAGCAAAACGTGCCCAGGGCGTCGATCCGGATCGACAATTCGTAAACCTTCTCGTCCCGGCATCCCGAGAATATCTTCCACCGTATCTCGCATATGGTGCATTCAGCGGCACCATCAAATCTGGATGAAGACCGGGAGCCGGATCAGAATTTTGTTGCGGGTTATGGGCATGTGGGGAAGGCGGAGGGGGAGGCGGAGGGACATACTGAGGATCCGGCACATAAGTGAAGAAATCCGTATCATCCTCAATGCGCGGATAATACGGAGGGACATACTGCTCATGAGTAGTGCTGGCCCGTTGGGTCTCTGGAACCGGGTCAGGGCCGGATGAGGTGCCGCCGGATGATGTGCCGGCCGAGGCCGAGGTAGAAACATTAGGGTCGTTTGATGATTGACCGAGAAAAGTACTCCCGTAAGAGTTTCTAGCCGCGAGGTTCCAGATTCTCTTTCTACCAGACATAGCGCAATATATATATCTGAAATTTATAAAAAACATAAACGGGTTAAATTAAACAATTCAAATATATCTAATTCCAATCCTAAACTAATTCCAAACTAATCTAATTACTTAACTAACAACCTAAAATAAAAAAAAATAATTACCTAGAAAGATGTTGAGTAGTTGTTAGAGAGAAGGGAATGAGCAACTGAAATGCTTCCGCGAGGTCCCTATATATATACAGTTTTGCACTTGGTCGTACATTAGTCATAATTGTACGACCACATTACGACCAATAGTCATAAAATAGTCGTAATATTACGATTAATGGACGCCAATACATATTACGTCTACATTACGACTACGTATTACGACGACATTACGACTAATGTGTGTCCATCTGTATATTACGACCAATTAGGGGCGAAGCATTAAGACTATGTAACAACAATTCACTACAAGAAAAATGGGCTTTGATAGCGGTGAAGGATAACGTTTTTTGTCTTTCTGCTATGGTTGACATACGCGTTAGTTTTAGATAGCGTTTGTATATTCAGAAACGTTATGATAGAATTGTATATTTAAAAACGCTATGATAGCGTATTTCTAATAGCACATTATTAAAAACGCTATCTTTAACTTTTTAAATCTCTAAACCCTAAACAAGTTTTTAAACCCTAAACTTTAAACATAACTTCAAAATCTAACTATTTTAATATCAATTCT